CCCCAGGATAAGCCCAGGGCTCCACTACCGTGCACTGCAAAAAGGAGCAACATTGCGTCAACAGAGAAAAGTGGTATCATGTTTTTTTTTTTTTTTTTTTTGTAAAAAAAAATAAAAATTCAGCTGAGAAACATCAAGGTAGTCTATACGCCAACAAAAAAGCTATTCGTCACTTTGCGTTCTCCGGGAAGCGCGTCAGCTGACAGCCGTCGACGGCGGCACAGTGTGTGTCCGACATAAAGCAACGGTCCAAATTTGACATGTCGCGTCATGCATACTTCGGCGTGCACACGTCACGAGCATTTACCATGATCATGCGCATACACTTGGATCCTCCTTCGAGCAATCGCTTCAGCGATGGGTTCATATCGCCCGCTATGCTCGGCAACATCGTGGCAGATTAGTAACAGCGCCCTATGAGGGAAACAAATAGAAATCAATACAGTGTTCAATCAAATGAGATTACGATATAAGGTAAGACCACATTTCTATCGTACACTTAATTACTTACCGTATTGCATAGGCCTATTTTGTTCATTTTATGGCGAATGCATTTTAATCAGACAACTTTTAACTGACTAATTAATAATTCTCATAATTGAAAGAGTTTTGATATATAGCTCTGGTGTTTACAGAGATGTCGGCCCCGAATTCTCTTCCCCAACACACGAGTCAAAATCCTTAATGAATTCGTTCCTTTTAGGCGCACTTAATCGATCATATTTAAGTTGATTCTATAGTTCGTCCTTTTCATCATACGGAAAACATATATGTTAATAGCGACCACAAGCTAACAATCTGGTGCGTAGGACGACACTATTATCCTAGCTATTATAGTTGTAGCACCCTCCACCACCCAACTGCCGAGTACGCATGCTCAGGCCTATGTACTGAGGCATAGATTTGTGGCTGTATAATATTCATCTAAGTTTACAGATTACTGTAATACAACGAAATTAACATGGTACTCTAATTGTTTTTAGAGTCAATGTGCTGAATGATTACGAAAAATAATAATTGTTCTCTTTCGTGCAATCATCAAATGTAGGCCTCAGTCATCCATATGGCAGTTTTGGCCTGGGAGAGATAGCTAACTGACCATGCTCAGTCAATCCCAATTGTAGCCGCATATGCTTACGTCATGTAGGCCTTATATTCATAGAGTACTCGTTTGTTATTATGGTCCAGCGGGAGCGTCTACGGTTACGCATCATCTAGTGCTCCGGATTTGGATGACTTTATTGTCAACACACATTAAACGATCGAATAGGACAATGTTCACCTAAAATATGACGGAATCCTGTAAAACTGGCATTGAAACAGGCTAGGCCTATTTGGTTCCATAAAATAACGATAGTAGGGGGCTATATGTTGTAGGCGTACATAACTTATAAAATTTATACTGGCCTGTGCAGTTTTGGCCTGGGAGAGATAGCTAACTGACCATGCTCAGTCAATCCCAATTGTAGCCGCATATGCTTACGTCATGTAGGCCTTATATTCATAGAGTACTCGTTTGTATATAATTATTATGGTCCAGCGGGAGCGTCTACGGTTACGCATCATCTAGTGCTCCGGATTTGGATGACTTTATTGTCAACACACATTAAACGATCGAATAGGACAATGTTCACCTAAAATATGACGGAATCCTGTAAAACTGGCATTGAAACAGGCTAGGCCTATTTGGTTCCATAAAATAACGATAGTAGGGGGCTATATGTTGTAGGCGTACATAACTTATAACATTTATACTGGCCTGTGCAGTTTTGGCCTGGGAGAGATAGCTAACTGACCATGCTCAGTCAATCCCAATTGTAGCCGCATATGCTTACGTCATGTAGGCCTTATATTCATAGAGTACTCGTTTGTATATAATTATTATGGTCCAGCGGGAGCGTCTACGGTTACGCATCATCTAGTGCTCCGGATTTGGATGACTTTATTGCTGTCTCTTATACACATCTAGATGTGTATAAGAGACAGAAAACACACAGGCAATCTTTAATATTAATAATAATAATTATTATTATTACATAATGCTAATATATGAGCTGCCTAAATGTCGTTGATAAGAGAAGGTATTTGGGGATTGGATCTCTGTAAATATTGTATGGCCATCTGTGGTCGTATGGTATGAAGTTCAGTCTCAGAGTGAGAGGACGCAGGTTCGACTCCTAGCTGAGAAACCTTTTCATACTGCAAAAGGAACTTTTCATTGAAGAACTGATTGATACGACCAACATCAAAGTATGTACCGTACCTATAGGCCTATTATTATTTATCTAGCCTATTTGTATACCTAAATTATGTATATAGTACATAGGCCACAGCCTCTTTCGTGGACAGACGAGGGATAACTGGTACCGGTTTACTGGGTAGCTGAGACGTGTAGACCTTGAGAAGCAAGTTTGTACGAGCTAGTCCACAGCTCGAGCGCTTAGAGACTTCTGTATAAAGCGCTATATAAATCTAACTACATTACATAGCCTGTCTCTTATACACATCTAGATGTACCTTATGTATGCTCATCATTGTCTTTAAAACAAACAAAAATAAACATGAACGGATCTAACAGACTGTATGCAATGTTGATATAACTGGGCGAAACTGCCAAAAATGACAAATATTTCCCCGTAGTTACTGTGATCATCATACAACTAGCTTCATGACCACACATTGCAGTTACAATGGAGAAAATAATCATGTATTTTAATTTCTCTTACTGTCACTAGGCCTATTCGGGGGAGTACCGTACTATTTCAATGTAAAATATCAGGTGGTCATGTTGCTAATGTCAGTTCGTGATAAAATACCGTGTCTTTGATTTATTGTTTCTTATATACATCATAATCAGCTGCCCTATACTGATGTAGGCCTATCCCCCATCATTTCATCCAAAATAAACCTCTTGTGTAATGTTCTTGAACTTGTTCGTATTGAAAAAGATACTTGTAACAAAGCGATCGTTTGATATCGGTCATAGATGCGTCATACAATAATATTTGTTTATTACCACACTTTCAGGCGTTTTCATAAAATTGCTGGTTACTCTTGGATTAAATTTAGCCTAGGCCTATGCTACTGAGCGAAAATATTTTATGTTGACCTTAAAATATTAATAAAAAGAGCATCATGCTTTGTATCTGTGGAGTAGATTTGTAGGCCTATTTATTTATTTTGTTTTCAATCTTTCTGGTAATCGTGAAATGCAAGGGTGGGGAGGGTTATCACGACATTTCCTATCACTAGCCTCACTTTACAATACACACTAGAGCATAATATAACAGCCCAGGTCTATTTTCATCATACGGGTGATAAAATATGTTTGACGCTGGACAAGTAACAAAAGAAAACAATACCAACGCCACTCTCCCTACCTATTATACCGCTCAAAAATAATACCCGACATAAAAACGGCTCATAGATATCTGATACTGAGGTAGAATCATCTTCTTTATCATAATCATCATCATCATCATTATCATCATCATCATCATAGTCACCAACATCATCAATATCATCATCATCATCATCATCATTATCTTCTTATCATCATCATTAGGTTGTTATCGGTCAATAATAAATTGGGTATTACTGTTCGAGATTGGCTAAACTATGACATAATACTTAATGGGCATAACATTTGCACAAAATGCATTATATATTATCAGCTCACCGGATGACTTTCTCGCCGCCTTCAACCTCCCAGCATTTTGTAACGATATGTTGACCATCGGCATTAATAAAATATGGCAGACCATTATATGTAGTGCTAAGTACGCTGCAGGATTGTTCTTGGTTGTCGTTATTATCCATGCGTCGAACACTGAAGAGAACAACATTTTAGAATGACTCCCCATTAATGTTCAGATGGTAGGATAAGACAGCAGTAAAACAACGATTTTTTAAAGAATGAATTTACGTTATCAAGAACTTCAAAATGATGCATGATTAAAGAAATTCAGTTTTTGTTGAGTTACCGAGTTTTTACACAAACAAAATTGAACAATTGGATAATTAAATTGGATTACCAGCAAAAAAATATAGGAAAAGTACAATATTGTCTTGTACTACAAAACTGAAAGTATAAACGTATTAATATACCCATTAATTCAAATTGTTTTTTTAGTAGCCCTAACGCTGGCAGTATAAGGTATAAGTTAAAACTGGAACTGGCAGTCTATCATCATCCTCATCATCATCATCATCATCATCATCATCATCATCATCATCATCATCATCATCATCATCATCATCATCATCACCATCATCACCATCATCACCATCACCATCATCATCATCATCATCATCATCATCATCATCATCATCATCATCATCATCATCATCATCATCATCATCATCATCATCATCATCATCATCATCATCATCATCATCATCATCATCATCATCATCATCATCATCATCATCATCATCATCATCATCATCATCATCATCATCATCATCATCATCATCATCATCATCATCATCATCATCATCATCATCATCATCATCATCATCATCATCATCATCATCATCATCATCATCATCATCATCATCATCATCATCATCATCATCATCATCATCATCATCATCATCATCATCATCATCATCATCATCATCATCATCATCATCATCATCATCATCATCATCATCATCATCATCATCATCATCATCATCATCATCATCATCATCATCATCATCATCATCATCATCATCATCATCATCATCATCATCATCATCATCATCATCATCATCATCATCATCATCATCATCATCATCATCATCATCATCATCATCATCATCATCATCATCATCATCATCATCATCATCATCATCATCATCATCATCATCATCATCATCATCATCATCATCATCATCATCATCATCATCATCATCATCATCATCATCATCATCATCATCATCATCATCATCATCATCATCATCATCATCATCATCATCATCATCATCATCATCATCATCATCATCATCATCATCATCATCATCATCATCATCATCATCATCATCATCATCATCATCATCATCATCATCATCATCATCATCATCATCATCATCATCATCATCATCATCATCATCATCATCATCATCATCATCATCATCATCATCATCATCATCATCATCATCATCATCATCATCATCATCATCATCATCATCATCATCATCATCATCATCATCATCATCATCATCATCATCATCATCATCATCATCATCATCATCATCATCATCATCATCATCATCATCATCATCATCATCATCATCATCATCATCATCATCATCATCATCATCATCATCATCATCATCATCATCATCATCATCATCATCATCATCATCATCATCATCATCATCATCATCATCATCATCATCATCATCATCATCATCATCATCATCATCATCATCATCATCATCATCATCATCATCATCATCATCATCATCATCATCATCATCATCATCATCAATATATATATATATATATATATATATACAGTATATATATATAGGCCTATATATGTATATATGTATATATATGATCTGTATAGGTAGGTATATATGTATATATATGATCTATATGTATATATATGATCTTTTCATAGGACTTTATTCGTTGAAAAGCTACAGGGTTGCCTACGATGTTCCACCATGTCCTTATTAAACACTGTATATGTACCTTTGATGATTTATATTATTTTTATTCAACAGTGTTAACGGCTAACTTTCTTCAATATCATATGTATATGTATATATATACTGTATATATAAACAATTACTTAACAATAATTTAATTAAAAGAGAAACCAAAAAAAAAAAGAAAAAAATTTAAATTACATTAGAAAAGACATTGAAGTAATTATTAAATAGCTGTACTCGATTATTATTACAGATCATAATGCATTTCCCACAATCTGATAATCTGAAAAATCGATAGGGCGCCCTCTGGTTAAGCAATCACACTTTGACGAAGTGATGATACGGCGATACACATGGTAGTTTTTGTGATTTAAAACAATATTGAATTATTGATGATGGAGTATCTACAGGGTGAAGTAACGCGTACTGAAGGTACCATGTAAGTGTATTTGTTTCTTTGAGTATGAACTGAATCATTAGCCACATTTCTGATGTCTGACTGAGTGATAGTAAATTAGGAGGCTAGGCCTAGCTTTCTTAATCCTATACTATAGGCCTAGGACTAGCTAGGACCCCCCTAGAGGGGCTCAGGCATCCATGCCTGGCTGGTAAGTTGAGCTAAACTTGTAACTGTAGGGCCTTGGCATGGTCTAGCCTAGACCTAGGCAGTCTGAAGAAAGATGGCAGTAAGTCGAACTTGAACTCAAGTAGTAAAAGAATCATTTAGTTTTCAAGTTAGCACCCTCACTTTCATGTGTACTCAATCAATGCCATCATCAGCACCTTCATCACTCACACACATCTCCCCCTCCTTTCAACATTTATATCATATGACACTGTGTGTAGCCATTTAAAATAGGCCTATGCTGGTTTCTTGATAAATTAGAATTGTTTTTGCCACAGTTTGTGCTGCCTCTGTGAAACACCAATTGCTCCAAACCCTGCTAACATGTGCGTCGCTTGTATGAGAACTCAGGTTGACATCACCGAAGGAATTCCTAAGCAAGCTACCATTTATTTTTGTAAATCATGTGAAAGGTAGGTGACAGTTAACGAACCCCAGTTAACAAACAACCAAAGTATTTTATCTGTATACACCACCATATGTACTAAATTTGGCGCTAATACAACGGTTTCGCATCCAGTCCTAAAATCATTTACTAAATTGTTTAACACTTACAATTATTCAATACTAATACATTGCTTGATGATTTTACTTTCCTATACAGTAATCCACTTATTATCCAACAATTATGGTTTCTAATTAAGTTAATTAACCATTAATTAGGACAGTTGACATCTTCGCGGTGCACCATCTTACACTCCCGGTTTGTAGTGCATGTCAACAACTTTGCTGTGTTGCCAGAATCAGGGCAATATTATACCATGGTAGCCGTAGGAGTGCGCTGACTTTAGCTCACCTAGGCCTTAGTGGAAATAGTATGAATGTCACTCAAAATATTATTCTACTTTTCGCTTTATTTTATCTTCATCAAGAAAAATAAATAATACAAAAAGACGAGCTACAAAACAATACAAGTTTCCAGAAATCCTAATGTAGCGAAATAATTGGTCACAAAAATTACAATTGGGCACAAATTATATGACAAACCCTGGAAACCTGCAGTCATTGTCTGTATTTTTTGTGTGTGTGTACAGTGGAGCGGAGTTGATTATGTTAAACGATCGGGTGTTACTATCGATATACCATCCTAGTTATTGGTTAATTAACTTAATTAGAAACCATAATTATGGAATAAGAAAATCAAATCAACAAAGAACATGTTAGTGTTGAATAATTGTAAGTTTTAAATAATTTGGTAACCGTTTTCAGGCTTGGATGCGAAACCATATTAGCGCCCTAAATTTTATTTCATAATTTATTTTATATAAAGCTTACAACAGTACAAATGCTGGCTCTGAGATCATGTAATGATGTATGGGGCCTGTCAAATTTTTCAAAATTATAAAAATAAATGGAGAAACAATGAAAATGATACTCAATTTAAGTGTGAAAGTGCCATTTCTGGCCATCTAGAGGTCCCATAGTCCTGAATTAATGGGACTAAGGTGGTCTAGCTCTCCACCTATGAAAGTCCTTCCCTAGGCCCCCCTGTACAGTATTTCAAATTCCTAGATCAGCCAACTGAACAATTGAAGTACGTTAGCTGACCATCCGCTTAAATTTGCACCCTACTGTATGTTAAATTTTAAATATTCAGTTTTTTTCAAGGGGCTTATAAGCATAATTTTGCTTGGCCTCTATACCCAGGAGGATCAGATTACAGAAGACTCTCCTGGGAAACAAGTAAACAAGTAATGTGTGGTTTCAGTGTTTGGAATAAAGGTACTTTAGAAGGAGGTTTTGTGTGTAATCACTGATAATAATAACATGTTTTTCTTGTTCATATTAAAGTTACATTTTAACTGGGAGTGAATTGCCACCACAGAGTTCTAAGAACATTGTAGCTAATTATTATCCAAATTCATAAATACATGAAGTCTCAACCTTTGCATGTGTTCCAACCCAACACCCTGTGATTGTTAATGGAGCACCAATCTTAACATAAACATTTTATTTTGTTTGTTTTCTTAATGATATATATTTTTTGTCGGTGCAGGTATTTACAGCCCCCATCTCATTGGGTAAGCTGCACATTAGAGTCGCGTGAATTACTCGCTCTTTGTTTAAAAAAACTCAAAGGCCTCCAGAAGGTAACTTTAATTGACGCCAGCTTCGTCTGGACAGAACCTCACTCAAAGAGGATCAAAGTGAAGCTGACTATTCAGAAGGAAGTGCTAGGGGGCGCTGTTCTTCAGCAGGTCTTCATCGTAGAGTTCACAGTCAACTATCAGATGTGCGATGACTGTCATCGCGTCGAGGCTAAAGATTTCTGGAAAGCGGTAGTCCAAATTCGGCAAAAGGTAATTTATTGTATAAGTTTGTTTAAAAATAATTCATACACTAAATTTTTAAAGAAATAAATACCATCTAATCTAATGCTGATAAGATGCTCACGTTTTATATGGTTTTTCATTTCATATCATTACACCGAATAATCCAATCCAATCCAAACATTTTCCAAAATTTTCTTTCAAAATAAATTATATGGTATTTATTCAAGGAAGAACAGAATAAAAGCACTTTCAAGGTAGAAAACAAGCAATGGTGCTAGATGAGAGAAAACAAATTGTGTTTATGCTGAAATCAATGAACACCAAGCATAACCCATGAAAGTCTGAAGAAGACCTATTTCCAGTGGGGTCCTGGTGGTGATTGGACACTGGGAGACAATTCCCTACTCTTTTCTAAACTGTGCGCTGTTGTAACTTTTATTTCAGCCTTCCAGCTGAAACACAAAGATAGCAGCGAATTGAAACAGGGACCTACAGATCGCCACAATTCAGCACATACACAGTGGCTACCACCAGTTTAGGTGAACGAATAAACCATTTTACAAGAAAAATTGGAAGAAATGAATGTTTAGAGCTTGTTAAAAGGCAGAAAACCAATGAAGATAATGAATACTGTACATTCCAGCAGTACAAGATTTAAAATATACTTTAAAACATTTTAATATGCACACACACACACACACACACATACACACACACACACACACACTGAGAGTGAAAAATTTCCAATTAAAAATATATGAGTGATTAGTAATTTAAATAATTAATGATAATGTTTATCATTAATTTAAATAATTAATGATAAACATTATCATCATATTGATAATTAATTATCAATCTAATATTAAATCAGTTATTACTGGTATGCCACTTTTTGATACATGTAGAAAACTAAAGATAACATTTTTTTGAGCTTATCGATTTTTCAAATTGCAGGCAACCCACAAGAAAACTTTCTTCTACGTTGAACAGTTGATGTTGAAGCACCGCAGCCACAGCAAAGCCCTGAACATTAAGCAACATGATGGAGGCCTAGACTTCTACTTTGCTACCAAAGATGATGCCAGAAAACTGGTGGAATTTCTAGCCTCTGTTATTCCATGCAGGTACCTAGGCTTTAGATGTTTGCCTCATTTCAGTGATATACAGTGTTTGCTATTGAGCTTTAACATGCCTGCAAACAATCAATCAATAATCTTTATCCATATGGGGCAAATATAAATATAAAATGAAAATTATAAATAATAAACAATTGCTTACACTGTTTAAGGTAAATTTCAATTAAGAATAAAAAGTAAAATAAATTTTGTCAAATAACAGATTATTTTTATTAGTTTCTTAATTTATTGAATACTCCTGGTTAAGCTACATTGATTGGGGCAAAGCTTTTTAAAATACAATGTAGTGTTGGTCACATCATGCCACAAACTTATGTACTCTATTGTTACAGAAACAAGACTTCTCAACGTCTGATCTCCCACGATATCCACAATAATACTTATAATTACAAGTATACCTTCTCAGTTGAAATATCTCCTGTTTGTAAGGTAAGTTCGAATCCCATTGAATTGTGACATCAGTGTCAAATAGACGCAACTGGCAAATTTAGTGCAACTGATGAATGTATTTTGGAACGCCTCTATAAGGCTCATGGTATACAAATTGTGAACGAATTTTCACTTAATGTCGAATTCCATGCTGTCGGTATATGTTTGTCTCCCCACCCAGAAGCATAATAATAATGGTACTACTTGCTATACTAGGAGCATTAAATCTTTGTGCAGTGCATTACATCACACTGCAACAAGACAAGAGGTTGCATATTGATTTAGCTAGTCAAGATGGATGGCCAGTGCTTTTTTCTTTCGTTCACTCAGCGAAGGTTTTTTTTTTATTAGAGACAATGTACAATGTCCAGTGTACACAATTGACTCGTGCGCACTGTAAAGCACCCAGTACATTTTTTGAGAAGAGTAGGGGGTTGCCCCGGTGTACGGGCCCATTTCAGCCCCCTTGTCTGGCCACAAAAGAGCGTTTACATCACGGTCCATGTCAGGTATCTTACCTGTGAATCTTTCTACCACATTACTTAAGAAGATCATGCACACTAGTTACGAAGTGACTCAAGAGGAAGAAAAAGGGGAGTCCCCATCTCAACAAATGAATTACAAGTTTGATACACAAAGAATGAACAAATCGCAAGTACAGATGCAGATAATATTTCAAGCACTTTGTAAATGTCTTCAGATTGTACGAAGAGCAATATATTTGTGAGAAATCAGTACTACTCTCCTGCTATCAATCTTGAGTTTGTTGATTAAATCTTACACTGTCCAATATTTTTGTGTCTACTGCCCAATAGACACGTTGCTATGATCTCTCCTGTGATTTGTAAGAGTAAATCCGGTCTCAGGAATGATGGGGTGCATCATAAGCTAAAGATAGATTTGAAATGATTACTGTAAATGCTTGAATAAGTGCCGTGGCGCTTATAAAATATTTGGAGGATTCAGTGCGACACTTATTTGAGAGCGGTGCTTTTAAGAAAGTATTGGCGTGGCAATTTTGATGCCCTTTCCCATGTTACCTAACAGGTATTCTTCCCATGTTGGTAGACCTATCATAGGGCCTAGTTATCGTAAATACTCGTTTATAAAGAAATGCTTGTGTCTTCATTGTGGTATTTATTTATTTTAACACTGTATGTATTATATTTAAAACACTGTTTCTCAAAGTGTTTCATTACACACAGGGTAATATATACCCTCGATAATGCGCTGTGGCGCTTGTTCGAGAGCGGCGCTTAGCGAAAATAATCAGCGTCGGTGTGGCGCTTATTCGAGCATTTACAGTAGTCTTCCAAAAGTTAGCCTACGAAATATGATGCCATGCCTAGACCTGTCCTAGAAAGAACTAAAACTAAAACAGTCTGTTGCTTGTACAGTTATTCATGTGAATTGTCAACACAGAAAGCATGGATGGGGCATAGGTTAAAAGCAAAAAAAAAACAACAACAAAAAACCCCCAAAAAAACACTATATCAAGCAGTAGACACAGGCGCCCTCTGGGAGCCTGCGTTAGTTCTTGACAAACCATGTTAACCAGTTTGACTCTCTTCACCAAGTTGTATAGTATAGTGCGTACCAGATATCAGAAATATAAATCAAACATGCGGTAATTAAAAGAAAAATATATTGTAGTATTTAAAGTTACTGTAGGCCTTTATACTCACTCACTCGCCATTGAGGAAGGACTAGTGTTGTCTGAAAGCTCTGCCTCTACGGTATTTCTAGCTGTTCACTTAAGTTTACTTATTAGCTGCTGCTGCTGTATCTCTACCGAGATCCAGCCGTTGTGTCCCACTATATATGTCCCATTATATATAAACATTGTAAAGTTCCATGTGTGTTGCAGTACGATAATAAAAGGATGTATAAACCCTTATATTGGCTAGCATTTAACTTTTAAAGATTGTTGTACTTGTAGACAGACATTATTTCTTTAATAACTTACTATTTAACTTTACTACTAGTTAATTCCTGATCTTTGTGCCTGCCAAACTAATAAAACTAAATTGAATTACATTAGTTTCAAGTGGGCATTGCTGTTGACACGCTGGGCTGTTGTCAGTTATTTTCCTTCATCACTTTAAGTGCGACCTAATTTACTCTAAGGTATCAAATTACATTTATAAACTAACATTTACATAACTTGTTTTAGTCATACTTCCTAGTTCACGATCACAAGCTACATTAATTTAATTATAAGAGACGTCTTATTACACCCCTAACATTCATGCTTATCGGTGATATCCACTGACAGCCTTGTTCTTCCTGATTGCCTTAAAAACATAAGTGCCATTAATTAATTTCAAGTTGCTTTTAATTTGTAGAAAAACTTTTTAGTTATAAAAAAAAAAACTCACATTTGTATAAATCAGGTGAGTTAGAAAAAACTAATAAGTATTTTACTGTATGTGGTGTTTGTTATTTAATTTTATTTAGATTTCAATTTTTTTTATTGCATTTTAAGGACCTTGTGTCCCAGATGGTCACCTTTGCTAGGTGGATTATACACATTTAACAAGTGACTTTAATTAAAGACTTTATGTATTCATCATCAAATCAATTTACAAATAAAACATTAAAGATTTTAAAAAGTGAATAAAAGATGAAAAGGACCATTCTGAAAACTCTATGAGCTTGTAAAATACAGACCTGGATGTAATAGAATTTGTTAAACCTTAGAGTGACACAAATTCACAAGTACACATGACAATACAACCTAACCTAACCAACAATTAAAAAAAAGAAGTTTTTTAAAGCAAGCAACCCAATGACCAAGGGCAAATTTCAACGGGTTAGGAGTTTAATTTCCAGGAAAACCAATCTGTAATACGTTCAACAACATAAGCAGAAAGTTAAAGGAATAAGGGTAAGGCTATGTAATAGAATTTATGAAATCTATTATAAAATTAATAAAATTTATGATAAAATTCATAAAATTTAATGAAAGACAATTAAATGAATGATGGATAATACTTTTATTTTGTAGAATGACATTGTGTGTTTATCCAAGAAATTTGCTGCCAGCGTCGGTAACCTAGGCCAACTTTGTATCTGTACCAAAGTGACCAATAGTATATCACTTATCAATCCAGCCACTTTACAAAGTATGTTAGCACAATTCTTTTAATATTACAAGCCTGTAAGTGGCGATATAATTTCACTGTTGGTTTTGATTAGAAATAAATAATATCTTAATTGAAATTTATTTCTGTCGCAGTATTCTCAAGTAAACTGAAAAACAAAGTAGTTTTTAGACCACAGTGTACAAGATTTATTGTTTTCAATTTAAGATGGCCATTGCTTATTCACACACAGTACGGTATACAGTATGTTTAATTATTGATTAAAAATATAAATGTTTTCAGATTTTGAATGGTCCATGCTATTTCAACGTCAAATCATATC